TTCTTTCATCTGGGACCGGGTGATGTTTCCCACTCCGCCTTGCTTGGCAGGGTGTGGGACCCACACTGTGTGTTGTGCCAGTAGCTGGGATTGGGCTTTGGAGGCTTTGAGCGCAAGCAAATTCCTTGGACTCCCAGCAGGACGGCGCTGGGTCTCAGGGAGCCGCAGCGGATGCGGCCCTATCGCAGATCTGCCAGACAACCCTTATTTGGAGCGTCCGATCCTGAAGGCAGGAGGTGGCTGGGGAGCCCACAGGTGCATGAGTTGCCCAATTTTTTATCTCTGCCTTGGCTCTCACCCTGCTGATGCAAAACCTGTGGTGCATGTGGGAGGTGAAGAAACAAATGTGAGAGCAGCAAGATTAGCGACCTCTCAGGTGATCGGTACCAAGCGTTTCTTTTTTTTTCTTCCTCCTTCTTTGAAAGGCAGAGCAGCCTTCCCAGCACTGCTTTCTTGGGCTGTACTTTCATGGATGTGTGCAGGCAGAGACCCATGCTTGCACTGCTTGTGCTGCCAGCTGCCTGGCCACGGCCCAGCTCCACTCCTGGAAGCCACATGGCCATGTTAGCATGGCACTCTGCCTCTTGGGGCTGCACTGGTGTCATTTATAAGGCTCCGGGGCTAGGAAAGGTTTGTATCCAGCTCAACAGGATCGAGCACTTTAAGGTCTCTCCTGCATACATCCATGTGCTTGTTTCTTTAGGAAAGACCCCTTTGTCTTTCTCATTCACATCTGTATTTAGCAAAGCCTTTAGAGAACCCATGTGCTTTCGGCCATCAGCACTTAAATATTGACCTTTGAGCTTCTGGGTAATTTTTCTTTGGTGGATGGCTGATAAATGAGCTGTCTGTGGAATTTGGGCCTAAGGCTGTTCCTCCAGCTATTCAGCAGGAGTACAGTGACCATGTGGTTGCATGCATCTGTGGGTCACTGTGCAAAGCAGCTCTCAGGCCTGGAACTGACATTCCCAGAGCTCCTGCTGGCAGGCAGGTTCAAATCCGCTGGTCCAAACCACACTCTTTTATTTAGGTTAGATGCATCCTTTGCCTTATTTGTTCCCCTGGTTTTTAATCTTGTGTGGAAGCCTCAAAGGTTCCTCTTCAGGTTAGTTCAGTTGAGGGGTTCCGTGGCTCTCTGTTCTACAAAAAGTGAAATTGACACAGAGATAAAGTCAACTGTACAGCAACTTCCCTGCTGCCTTCCCCAGCCAGAGACCACAGGAATGAGCTTGCTGCACCGAGAGAAAGCGGAGTGCAATGCAGCATGGTCACAGTGGGTCCTGTTGGGTGAGGTCTGTGAGGCCCCAGGCTGGTTCTGGGAGCAGGGAGTCTGGTGAGGCATCTGCAGCAAGACTGTGCCTTGGTGTTATGGAAATGGGATACATTGGAATCCCCTTGCCTGCTGCATTTTGGGCAGAACACTGGAACTAGTGGGCCATCAGCACTTAAGGTCAAGAAGAATGGTTTATACTGCCTTCCTGAGGAAGCAGCTTAACCTGTCCCTATTGGGTATGTTGTAGACTCTGGGCTTTGTGTTTTCTCCAAATACAGTGAACCAAAGTCTCGAGCATCCGGATAGGTTTAAGTTCAGTATAACATTAAAACAAGAGGCTTTTGCCTACCTAAGAGTGCTAGAGAAAAGCTGATATTTTTTTTTTCTGAATTGAGAAAAGAAATGGCCAATGGACTTGGATTATTGAGCAGTGATTTTATCTTCTGATTACAAAAACATAATGGAGCATAAATAGGAGGAGTTGAATGCAATTTAGCTATGTTCTGCTTAAAAAGACTAAGTTGCAGGGAGGAAGGTAATCAGATGAGGATGGTCCCAAGCCCATCTGTCTAGGGCTATATTCAGAAGGAAATCCGTAGCATGAGTGGAGGTCTGTTATGTGACCTTAGTCCAGGTTATACCACATGTGGTGCTGGGGACTGGGCAGAGCTGATTCCCATCCACGCAGCCTGCCTTTACCTGGGCCAGCCCCAGGATCCCTTTCAGCTTTGCAGCGGGTAAGAGGAGGCTGTGCAAAGTGACATCTCATCTAAAGCTTCTGCATATGCAACCTTTGGACTAAGCAAAATTGCTGGTGCTTCTTGTGTGACCAAAGAGCTCCCCGCGTCCAAGATAAACCAGGGAGAGGAGATGTAGGTATGCAGGCCTTCATGTTATAAAGACATCTTTCATCTCGCTGACAGCGAGGTTCCTGCAGTGCTTTGATTGCCCTTTAATTACGCCTGTTTTTCCTGGTTTGTTTGAAAGGCAGATCTTGTTAGGAAAAAGGTGCTGCGTGGAAAGAACCTGGCTGTCTGTGCTGCCCTTCCTTGAGGGCGTGCAGCAGAGCAGATTAGGTTTTTCTGCAGAGTTAAAGCTGAAGATCGTTTCTTGCAGATCTGACCATAGGCACAGTGTGTTCCTTCGTAGCTGTGAGCAGTCAGGTGGTTAGATGGCTCACGGAGCCAAGAAGGTCAATGCTCTTCCTATGCCACCTTCCAGCGTGATCTCAAAGCAGCTGCTTTCATCCCTGTGTCTCAGGTTGTTCCTTCTGCAGGACTGGGCTGCTGCTCACCTGCCCTGTGGCTGCACGGTGCTGACCGTGGCCATGGGAGGTCTGGAGTGCACTGAGGTGAATGTCACCGAATGTGGAGTTATAGCATCGTGTCCTGGCTTGCAGGCTTTGTTGTTTGGTGTTCCATCTCAAACACCGCTGTGCAGAGCTATTTGTCAGCTTTCATTAATAACAACAACAGAAAATGAAGTCTGGCAAAGCCTGGAAATATGATTCAGTATACACCACGGGTATAACTGCCAAGCAAGCAAAATAAAACTCGGGAACAGGTTTCTGATCCTTTTCCAGATCTTTAAAGAAAATCTGCGTAACTTTTGAGGGTTTGACTCACGCTCGTAAGTGCTTGGGCTTGACAGCACTCTATTTTTAAGTGCCGGCTTTATGTTGAATCTTGGGAGGTGAGATGAAAATGTGTTTTTTTTTTTTTATTTTTTTTCAAAGTAACAGCAAATCTTAATATAGCTGAGAATGCGGAACTGCCCTTAGGAAAATAGGTTGGACACATGAAAAGGAATCTTGCTCAGCAGGCTGAAGACGTGGAGCAACTTCTGCGGTTACATTTTTCTTTCTTCTGGCAGTTGTGGGGTGGGGATGGAGCTGGCTCACAGAGCTGGTTCACTCACCCAGCCCTGCGTTTCTCTCTGAGCACAGTCACATCTTCCTGAGCAAAGCACCGGGCTGAGACTGACCCTCTAGCTCAACCTAGAAAAGCAGTTCTCTGAAGTGCCCCTTTTGTGGAATTTGAAGCAACTTCAAACTTACAATGGGGCTCAGAGTTGCAGGATGGGTTGGGAGAAGCAGATGATCCCTTTTAACTGAGGTGGTTTGGTACAAATGGGCAAAGGCGCAAGAAAGTTTGGGTTGTCGTCTCCCGCCTAGAGTCCTGAAGACTTAAATGGCATTGAAATGAAGTCAACTCTTCAAAGCCAGAACTAATCAAATGAGGAGAATTTCAAGTAGGAGGATAATCTTTGTCATCTGACAGCCGATCCCAGGTTCCCATGAGATCCCCACACAGTTGTGCTGCAGCAGCACGTAGCTCTTGTGCCAAGGCTGCCGCCTTTTGCCCGGAGTGCTGTGCGTGCTTTGCATAGCTGGTAAGGCTGGGCCTGGGGGCCTCTTCCAGTGGAGTGCCCCGTACTTAGACCTGAATTTGCCAGAGAAGATGTGACACCGTTTTGTGGGTGCTCGATCTCTTGGGGTGCAGCAGTGTGGGACTTCAGGAGGGGTTTTGCAGGAATGTTGGGGCTGTGGGAGACGTGGAGCAGCTGCTGGTGCCTGTTTACTTGCAGCATGCAGTCATCTTTCCCATGCAGACAGGAGAGCTGCATGTGAATATTCATCATGGGTCCGTATATTTAAAATTGAAAAGATGTAAAAGTATGCACACAGCAGAGTTAAGGCTCTCTTACGAACAAGACCAGTGCTCAGGGAGCACAATTACCCAGGCTGCGCATGTGGCTGATTACACAGTCCCAGAGCAGCTGAGAGCATCTCTTCAGGCTCCTTGGAGCAATTGCTCACCCTGGTAGTGCTGCCAGCACCCTCCCTCTGCCCATTCCGGGCCCTGGAGCTCAACATGCAGGTGGTTGTGGATTGCTGATGTTTACTGGAAATACTTTCCACATGTCTCAGTTTCTCTGTAGGAGTGAGACCTGGCAGGGTGTTGGCAAGGTCCTGCAGAAGGGGCTGTGGCTGTTTGCTGGGCTGTTGTGCCAGGGGTTGTGCTTAGCAGTGCTCGACTGGGCAGCCAGCCTCCCTGTTCTTTGGTTTTTCCTTTTAGGTTTTTATTGCACTGTTTTATATGAGAATAAGAACTCGTATCCTAATCTGTTGATAGGTATTGCATTTCCATTTCCCCATTGTGTCAGAACTTGAGAAAGCTGTTGCAGAACCTGTGCAAAGAAGCCTTTGATAAGCACTTTGCAAAATCTCGGTTCCTGATCAAACCCATCCACTACTTGCAAATGAGCAAGGGATTTTGCAATGCTGAGAGGCTCCGGAAGGTGGCACTAACTCTCTGTGCAGTGTCAGACTGGTGTTTCACTTTAGCAGCAAAAGAAGTAAGCAATTAGTTGGTGGGAAGCATTCCTGCAATATCTCCAGCAACTTCTGAGATGTGCCAATAATGAGCATTGTGTCTGCAGAGAGGCCTGGTGTAAATGTCTGGGAAAGGTGGATGGAGATCTCAAAGCTTGAGAATTTACTGAAATTGACTCTTACTGAAATGACTTTGCCCCTGTCATGATTTGGATAACGAATTAGGAATGCAGTGATGTCTCTCATGCATTTTTACCTGAAATCTCTGAAGATAGAGAGCGCTGCATGTAGGGGTGGAGAGCAGCATCTAGATCTCCACTTGTCATGCAGTTGTTCAGTGGCCAGTGAGCAATCTGTGACACTGCTGATGAGTACTGTTTTCCTCTTCTGCAGGTTTTCATCTCTGTGAACTGCCTCAGCACAGATTTTTCCTCTCAGAAAGGAGTTAAAGGCCTGCCCCTGAATCTTCAGATCGACACCTACAGCTACAACAACAGGAGTAACAAACCTGTGCACCGTGCCTACTGCCAGATTAAAGTCTTCTGTGATAAGGTAAGGTTGGGTCAATGTGCAGATGATACTTTGGGAAAGGCTGCTCCTCAGCTTAGGGGGCTTTTGTTTGAACAGTGCAATTGATATGGACAAGTGAAGGCGTTCATTTTTGCCTAAGTTGCACCATGTCATCCCTTGTAAATATCTTTGTGTTTTCTTATTATGCTTTTCTTTTGTTGTCAAGTTGACCCTTTGAGCGTAAAATGGAGCTGCTCTCTTTGTGCCCTTATGGGATACAGCAGTGTAGTGTGTTTACAGGGTGGATAGATGCTGTAATTTGACTGCTCTGCCTCATGCATTTAACACCTCAAGAACTAACACCTTTCCCAGTCATGGATCACCTGAAAGAGTGAGGGAAGCTACAGGAGCTGAGCTGAAAGCAGTTGTAAGAGCTTCTCTGGGTTTGTGAAGAAAGACTTCTCAGTTTTTTTAACCTGCTCCCATCTGAACAATCTTTCAAGGGAGATGGTAGCAGGTGATATGCAGTGTTACTGTTTCCAGAGCGACCAAGAGCTCTCCTGGCTGGCAGGAGTGTTGCATGGCTTCCCCAGTCCCTCTGTCCATCACTGGGAGCCATACTGAACTTCTGCCTTGCTGGCACCATACTTGGCTGGGGCCTCTCTTCACATCCAGCCCCTCTTCATCAGAAGGACTGTTTGCGAGCGAGATCTCGCACACCTCTGCAGTCCCAGGTCTGAGAATAGGTTCACACCCTCCCTCTGGAGGCCTGAGCTATCAGGCATTGATCTCATCATGTGCAGTCTTTCCTTGGCATGCTGCTGGAATATGAGTGTCCCATTTCATTTTTTTTCTGCCCCACCGCCTCCCCAAATCTATGGAGCCCTCTAATCTGCCTCTGCTAATAGCACCCTAGTAATAACCTGCCATGTTTTATTGTTGCTTTTTGGTTTTAAACAGAATCATGGAATCATTAACATTGGAAAAGACCACTAAGATAATCTCATCCCCCCACTGATCCATCCCCAGCATGGCCATTAGCCACGTCCCTCAGTGCCCCCATCTCCACGGTTCTTGAACACCTCCAGGGGCGGTGACTCCACCACCTCCCTGGGCAGCCTGTGCCACTGCCTCACCACTCTTTCTGAGAAGAAATGTTTCCTCATATTCAACCTGATGAAGTAACTGGTAATGAAGGCCTCTCTGCTTTCCTGCATATTAGGAGAAGCTGCTTGCAGTTATCAGTATAAAGTTGTTTATTTGTCTTCCTTCGTGTGCCTCTTGGGAAGAGTTTTGTTTTCCTTCCTGGGAAGACTGTTGTGATGATGATGAACTTAGAAGAGAATTAATGAATGTTCTCAGGGCTACTTCCTCTGCACATAACTGTGTCATCTGCATGTATCACTGTCCTTACTGTGTTTGTTGCCACCTTTTACCTGCAGGTGTGCTGTTACCCATTTTCTTCTTGGGGAACCAATTCTACACTGTGAAGATCTTTTTTTGGGGGGAAGAAAAAAAAAAAAAAAAACCAGCACAAAATAGCCTTGCTGTGGCCAACCAACTGCTCTGTAGACCCCCTAATTCCACCTAAGGCCTGCCTGACCTTACATCAAACCTAGGTACTGGCATGGGAGTGCTCTGCTGTTTTATGTGTGTGAATTCATAGATTTTCTATGGAAGGCCAAGCAGTTGTGTTAATGCTGTGCGATCGCCTTTGCACAGGAAGGGAGGAACCTGTGGGGCAGGGGAAGCTGCTGCTGCTTGGTTCTGGTTTTTGGTTGCTGCCTGTGAGATGAAGTTTCTTCCGGCGTTTCTGCTCTTTGTGTTCCGTGTGGAAGGAGCCTAAAGGTGCCCACCATGCTTGGATTGCATCTTACCTCCCATGTGGCTTCAGGAGCTGAACAGAGATTGCTGCCTTTCTGTAATGCATCATAGTGCAGGCTTCCTTCAGGCTTGTCATGGAAGTGCTTGGGCTACCAGGGATGGGGGTGGTCTGTCAGAGGGAGAACTCTGGGACACAGCTGAGTGCTGCATGGGCAAGGGGCAATTAAATGCATGCTCTCACAAACTATTGCTGACGGTGTCCTTTGGGAGCTGCCATTGCTGTGCAGTGAGAGGGTTTTTGTGGGGTACTGAAACCAGTGAGATGTTGAAAGAAGAGGTCATGGAGGTGATGCAGCTGGCTGAAGAACAGGCTGTGCTGGTGCAGAGTGCTTGAGAGGGGATAATGCTTTCTGCCTCTGTCCCAGCCCAGTAAATCCCCCCCCCCCCCTCCAGAATTTCTAATGCTTCTGCAGTGAGCAGCTTCCCCTCCTATTAGATCTCTTCTTCTCTGACCTACTTCATGAACCCAGAAGCAAGGAGATGAGAGATGCCAAGGGCCAGCCCCGAGGACCTGTGAGAAGTGTTATTTCTGCAACCCCCCCTGCATGCCATGGGTCACAGCTTGAGCCTCCAGCTGGCTTTCAACAGTGATGTGCTGTTATTAGACCCCTTTGGCTCAGCATCCCTTGTGCTCTCACGTCTCCACATCCCTTTGCCCTAGTTTCCATGAACAAGAGAGTAGCAGAAGTCTCTTGTAGTGACTTTTCTCCACCAGCTAAGCATCCTCACTACATTGTCAGATGTGGGGACATGCCAGGCACGTGGGCAGGATGCCCAGCTGTTGGCTGGAGTGAGCCTGTCCCACAGGGAAGCTTCTCTGCATTGCGAGCAGGCTGCCAGAGCCCTACCTAAACAAGAGGGGCTGGGGGCATCTCAGAGCACGTCTGTTGTACCCAGCACGTGGGCAGGAGCCAGGCAGCCCAGCGGTGTCCTGAGGACTGTGCCATTTTGACCGTGTCGCAGCTTTGCACCTGTGCAGCTGTTGCTTATCATGTAAGTTGTGTTTTGCTGCAGGAGGGAGGAATGATGGCTCTCCAGAGCACAGCTTCCCTTTGACAGCCCAAGAACCCGTTACACGAGGGAGGAGAAACAACAAAGAAAAATCCTGCAGCCTTTAACATGTTGGCAAGAGTGTGAAATCTTGCATTTCAGCATTGCAGGCTGGTGAGGAAAGTTGGGAAGATCTTTTTCTTGTGAGCATACTTACTCCATAACTGCAGAATATGGGATTCCAGTATCTTTGTTGATTTGTTTTTTTTTTTTTTTTTCCTTCCCCTGGCTCTTAGTAACAAGCTGACAAACAGAAGAGCCTGTCGTGTAAGTAGCTGAGGTGATGCAGGGACCCAGGGAGAACCCAGCTGACTGTATATAACAGAGCTCTGTGACTGTGCAGTAAGGGAGAGGTCAGAGGAGGTTTCCTCAAAATGCATACAAATCCTGTCAGTGGATCTGTATGTTCTTGGCACTGAAGACGGTGCTGTTCTATAGCATAAAGTCTGAGGAGCAGAACTTCAGTAATTGCACATGAAAGGTAGAGAACACAGGGCTGGAGCCAAATCTTTCTGCCACCAACTTCTGCTGTTGAGCTGAGATGCTGCAACCCCTCTGGTGACAGAAGGCACAAAGAGGAAGTGGGTCCATCTGGAGTTTGGGTGGGTGTCCTCACTGTCCTGGTGGAGCCTTTGTTGTTGTTATGGGGCCAGCTGCAGCCAGCAGCAGGCTTGTCTTTATCAGCAACTTTCTTGATTTTTTTTCCACAACAGCTGTCATGAAACTACTTGTGTCCCTGCTGCCAGCGGGGCAAAGAGGAGCTATGTGTTGGTGCACATCAAATGTGTAGGTGAATCTTCCCTTTAGTTGCTAGTGCAGACATGCCTGCTGCAACCTTGCAGGTGTTAATGTGGTGTTGCCCATAGAGTGTGGATTTACTGCGTGGTTAGGAGGGCTGTTGCCTTTCTCACATGTGTGTATTAGGTACTATTAGGTACTATTTCACACCTTACTGCCATGTGTTTTTTGATACTGTCTGCTATAGCTAATCTGTTCTTCCTCTGCTCTGCACAGCAATGTGGGAGTGTTACTGGCAGCTCTGCAGGGCTAGAAAGAAGCAGTGATGGCTTTCCGTAATTCCTCTGTGGCCAGATGACTGTTACTCTGTTTTACAGGAGGGCAGAGCTTGTGCGCTCCATCTGGGGCAGTGGTCTGATGGCAGCACCCCAACTGAGTCTTGGGTAGCTACTTTGGGCCAGTTGCTTCCTGCAGCTGGCTGTGTGACATCCCTGCCCTAACCCACAGTCACGTGGGGTTGTGTTCAGAGCTGGAGGAATGGAAGTGATTTTCTGTTGTAGCTGTCTGCATCTACCTTGACTTTGTGTCCCCACTGCTGCTTGGGGTGAAGTGCCAGGAGCTATGTGGGCAGCAACCCAGCTTGGTCTCTGTGGCTTCCACCACAGCCCAGTGCTGATGCAAAGGAAAGAAAGAAATAATGCCTACATTAAAGCAGTGAATGTCTACAGCTTTAGACTGTAGAGGCTTCTATAGCTGCTGCTGACTCCACATGCAGCATGCAGGAAGGTATCTTGGTGATCCGTGCGTGGCTTGACGTTATAGATCAATGCTCACTAATTATCTTATGAACTCTTAAATTGGGAGGACTTGAGAGTTTCTAGTGTTTCAAATACTTCAGGTATATCTTGTTGTGCTTCATACAATTGTTATTTCTATCTGACTTGAAAGAAAAGGAAGTAATGGCACCTTCTGTGTGGTTGCTGGAGTTCATTCATGATAGGATTTGAAAGTAAATGCTGGGAGATCTCAGTGTTGGCATACAGGTGGAGTTGCATCTCAGGTACCCTGGATCTGACCTCTGCAAGCACAGCTCTGGAAGAATCTGTTCCTGCTTTTGCAGCTAAGAAAACAACAAATTGAGAAACCTTCCTCACTTCTACTTCCCTTAATCTCTTGGCAGGGAGCAGAAAGGAAGATCAGGGATGAAGAAAGAAAGCAAAGCAAAAGAAAAGGCAAGTGCACTGACCCCAGCTCTCAGTTGAATGCCTGTAAGTAGAAATTATTCCACGAGTATTTTAAATATTAGATCTCATTTTGTTTACAAATAGTTTATGCAGTAGTACTCTTGAGTCAACTCCCCTGTGGAGTTGGTTTTGTTTTAAGCTGTTGTTTATGGATCATTAATTGCATTTAACAAGTTACTGAGTCATTTAGGACTTTATGTGATTTTTCCTGTCCAAGACAGGATCCTGGTGCACATTTACCAGCAGTTGAAGTGATGAGGTGTGTGTGATGTTTGGATGCTTGCTGCAGCCCCTGTAGATTCAGGTGTCCACAAGAGCTGGAGCTGTTCTTAACATTTCTAACTTGATCTTAAACTTAAGCTTTAGCGTATGTTGGAAGGTGCTTACAGCTGTGCAGCAAGATGGTGGCAGGCTTGAATCTGTGCCTTCCAGCCCTGTGCTCACTCTTCTAGAGCGAAGCCATCCTTATTTAGTATTTTCAGTAGAAGTTGTTTCCATACGTATGAGCGATGTGAAGACCTCTGTGTTCTCAGTACACAAAGGCTGCACAGCTGCCTCCTGCTAAGTAACTTCCCCTTGGCTGCTGCAGGTGAGGTTTATGTATCTTGACTGCAACAGATCCTACATTTTGGTGGCTTGTTATTGGCTAACAGAGCTGCTTAGAGAACACATCTCCCAATGCTCCCTTTAATGGGGCAGGCGTGTGCTCTCCCTTGCTTATCAGAGCTGTGCTGTGAGCAGTCCGACTAGTTGGACAGGCAGGCATCTCACAGCTTGTTGGGCAGGATTTTCCTGACACAGCAGGTATGGGCTGCTGGAGCAGCTTCAGAAGAAGGTAATGCTCTGAGGGAACCCTTTTGCTCAAGGGCCAACGTTGAAGGGATCTGTTTTGATTTGTTTTCCCCTACGTAAAAGGCAGCTTTAGCACACTGCTAGCATTTCACAAATGTGGTTGCCTCATTGGCTGTCAAAAGACTGCTGGAAGGTGAAAACTCAGTTTCAATACCAATTTCCAGGATCTTGTATTTGTACAGAAGCTTTCTAGTGAGAATTAACCTGGAGAGACCTTGATTTTCCTGGAAAGTGCAGTGCGTTGCTGTTGAGGTTTTTATGTTAGGAGTTTTTAATTGCTCTAAGACAAAAGCTGTTGTACCCACCTCTGGGATTACTGATACCGTATGCAAGTGGACTTAGCAACAGCAGAAATGTTGACTTTTGGTCAGAACAATTATTTTACAGGGATTGAGCAGTCTTTGAAAAATCAGTTTTACAAGGCAAAAAAAGTTTATTTCTGATCGGAAACATGAGAGGTGAAGTGCTTTGCTATACACTCAAAGTGTAAAAGTTTCCACGTGGTAGTTAAATGGAAATCTGTGGTTCTGACATGACCAGATATCAGAATCTGGTCATATCAGAACAGCAATTTGAGGCACCTCCTGCCTCACTCTGTCCCAAATGGGCTTTTGTGAATGAACGCTGTGCTTTGTGTCACTGACTTGGTGTGTGGTGAGAGCTGAAGTCCTCTGTGGGAGATGGTGCTGGTGGGGGATGACGTGGGGTCTGGCAGCCTGGGGGTGACCAGGGCGAATGATGAGATGAAGAATATAAATTGAGAAGTATGAAATGGAAATGCAACTCGTGAGCAGATTTGTGCATCTCTTTAGAGCAAACATGCTGCTTAATACAGACTTTGGAGAGGTGCCCAGCTGTGTGGGTGGCAGTCTGTTTCCTTCTCTCTCTTCTTTCCACCGTTCTGGTGTGGGAAATTCAGCAGCCCACTGTGGGGGATTGGTTAAGCAGAAGGGCAGGGGGGGCTTTAAACAGCTTTTGTTCTCTGTTCCACTTGGTATATGGAAGACCTAGGTTTTTCTGTTGGGGTTAGTGGTCAGACCACCCTGCAGCCCAGCTTAATACTCAGATGGAGTCAGACAGTTCACTTAAATGGAATTCATTCTCTGCTGTTCTGCTGGAGTCCAGCCCCCCTTACCCAAGACAACCCAGGTTCAAACTCCTCTACTACAGAAGCTTCTCCCTTTGACCCTGACTGTTGGGTACTCTTGTTCAGCAGCCTGTGTGTGCCTTTTAAATGATGTGGGAGAGCTTCGGCCTCCTCACTGCCTGCACCGTTCTCGCTGTCTGTGCTGTCCTCTGACCCAGCCTTTGGTCTCTCTCCAGTTTCTGATGTCAAAGTGCCAATGCTTCCCTCGCATAAGCGGACGGACATCACTATCTTCAAGCCCTTCATGGATTTAGACACTCAGCCAGTCCTCTTCATTCCTGATGTTCACTTTGCAAATCTGCAGCGTGGTGCTCACGTAAGTGAAGCCGTGGGTGTGGGAGTGATGAGTGCTGTGGGGTGTATTTGCAAGAAGTCTAGGGTGCTGTGTGTTTCTGTTAAATATGAAATACCAGACTGTCTGTGCTGATGCTGTAAACAAACACAGGCTGAGTCTTACATGAGCAAGAGACATTGCTCCTAGACGTGTTGGCTGGACTTAACTGGGGATGTTTTCTGAATAAATTATTTTCCTGTGAGCTACTGTTGTGAAGAACCTGAAATGATTTTTCCAAAGCATTTCCAGCTGAGAGTTCACAGAAGGAACTGCAGGCTGGTTTTCTCTTGTAAAGTCTGCTGGCTTTCTGCTGTGCTGCTGTAGACTTCAGGCTTCTGCAGCCTGCTGCTGCAGAGTGAAAAGCTGTTTTGTGGAGCTGGCAAGCGTGTCAGCTGTGTGATCTGCTGCCAGATCACCCTGCCTCAGCATTCCTGGAAAGTCCCAGCTGACAGGAAGCTGGAAGGGAAAAAATGAGTGCAACCAAATTTCAAAATCTTCAGTCTTCCTGTGTTTAGAGTTCTGGCATGCTCTAATAGAATATCAGTGTTACTTTTTTAAGACAGTGGCCTCAATTCCTAACAGAGAATCGAAATAAACTTGTCTCTATAAGCTGTAGTTTTAAGTACTGTTGGAAGACTACGTTAGCCTAGACAGAGAACTAGTTAGCTCTTGTGCATTTCCATCCCTAGCATTTGAGATCCTTCAATTTCTCTGCAGGGGAAGTGATAAAGAAGGTACTTACTGCCTTTTGAAAGATTGAGTCTAAGTGTTGTTCAATACAGAGTTGAAAGATAAAGAGGAAATGAATTCCAGTTCTGGATAAAGCTTGCACAACCCTAAGCAAAAGTACTGTCTGTTTATTAAAATGAAGGTGATGTCTTTTTGCTTGGATCAAAGGATCTTACTTGTAGCAGTAAAGGTGCGTCTGGCTGCCTTCTTGACAGCCTCTTTTTCCCCTCTAGCTTGTACTGCTGTGTTTATCAGTCAGTTGAGCAAGAGAGCCGGCTGCCTATCCCCTGCATTTCCTACTGTGGGTTTAGGGGTTCTCTCTGCCAGAACAAAAACGTGTCACTGTTGGACCTTTGCTTGTGTGGAATACAGCAGAATTGCTCAGTGGCAATGACTCTTGGATGTAAGCAGAACTATTGCAGAGTTGCTGTTTGCAGTTAGTGCTTGAAGGGATGGGAAGTGTATTGCTGGAGGACCGTGTAATGCCAGCCAAATGCTATGTCTTCGTGTGGCTTTGTTTTGTGGAGTTCAGACTACTATGTAGTTTTCTCAGAGGACAGAATATGCTCTTAGGCTCTCACTAGCTAGTCAAATCACCGTATGCTTTTCTGCATATTTCAAGAAAATCTTTCTTTGTTTTAAAAGGTCCTTCCTGTTGCTTCTGAAGAGCTAGAAGGTGAAAGGTAAGAGCTGTGCTTTTTCAGACTCCTGAAACTTTGCCCTTGGAAAGGAGGTAAGTCCCTGTAATTGGACTGTGGCTGATGTTTTGCTCTGTCAATGACAGTTCCAACCTGAAGAGAGGAGGTTACATTGGTGAAGAGGACTTCATTGCTACTCCAAACAAAATGGCCAGAATAGAAGAACCAAAAAGAGGTATTACTTTCTCCTTTCAAAGACTGCATTATCGGAGTGCTTGTCCATCAGGATAAAGAGAAGCCCCTGAGATTGTTTCATTTTGTAGTATGCTTTATCCTGACCTTCTTGTTTTGACTAATAATGGAAAGTACACGTGTGTCAGATTGTAATTCAGTTTCACAAATCTTTTTGCCGTGGGAGAATTTTGGGGCTTTTTTGCCAGCTCAGGCACTGCCTGCTTTTGAATTTTGTGTAAGGAAAGGTGCAGAGATATTGAGCAGTTCGTACCAGTTTTTTGAGCAGGAAGTTTACCAGATAATCAATTACAAAATGCCAGAAACTCTTTTGTGGGGGTTTGACGTTTCAGTGCCAAGAGCTGCTTCTGAATATTGTTGTATCTTCCATGGTGCTGGAAGATGGGCTGTTCACCACTAGGAAGCAAAATGAGAGCGTATTTGGTAGATTTTAAACCTGTTTTATATCTTTGAACTTTGTGGAATTGGACATTAATGTGGTGTCATGGCAGAAAATGAGAGATCCTTTTTGGAGGAGGCATAGAGGAGGATTGCCTGCCTGATGAAAGCTGTGTATGGAAAGACCATGACAAGTCTTAAAGGATTAAAAGATGAAGATTAAACTTGCGAGGTTTAACCTTTTCCACCTCACAAGTTTGACCCGAATGGGGCTGTACTTTGGTAGTCTGTGTAAACTAATTGGAAATGATGGATTTTATAAAAGGAAGTGTGACCTCTTGGTGTCTTTTGACTGTGTGCAATAAAATGAGATCCATGGCAATATCTCTATGTTGACTGCTCTAATGTCCTACCTGTGCTGTTACTGAGAGTGTTCACGCTCTCTTCATTTAAAAATCTGCAGTTCTTGTTTTGAATCTTCCTCTAGCAGAGGAAATCCAGGTGTTGTGCTGTCCTTAGCTCACCTTGGTCAACTTAGACCAGTAATTGTGCTGTATTGCAGGTGTGTCAAAGGCGTGTAGTTAATGAACCCTTGTAAACAATCCAGCATGCAATACCTAGTCATTAGAAGATGGATTAAAGGCAGCAGAGCCGTTCAAGGCCAAGCTTTTTTGTTCTTATGGCTTATTCCTCAGCCTTAATGCAGTTTTTAATGAGGCTGATGCTACATACAATGACTCTGCTGGCTTGAGAACGCTAGAGATACTTACCTAATTGGGTTTCTTATTCTTTGGTTCCCATGCTAGCAGGAAAGAGAGCCTGTAGTGTGTGTCAGCTGAGCTGGAGTGGGGATTCCTCAAATATGGCGTGGAGAGGGGAAACAGATGAGATGGTGTAGGAGGAGGGGGGAGTGTACAGATAATTATAAAATGAGGAGCTGACCAAGTTGGCTTCACCTGCTGTGATGGTGGCTGTCAAACTGGTTAACTGTGAAAAATCTTACGGTAGGTAACTTGTGGGACATGAAGGGATGCTGGATTCTCGAAACTCCCATGTTTTGCATTCCTCCTTTCTGTGTTTTAAATGTAATCTTTCAAAAAAAAAAAAATAGAAAATATCAGCTGGTGAAAAACCTGAATTTTGAGAATGAAGGTGTTTGACATGTAAGCATGCAGTATTTCTGGGCATGAAGGGTGCCTTTTGAGCTAACCTAGCTGTACAGCTTCAGTGTATGGTAGGCGTATGTATGTACCTCTCTTCATGAGACCCTTAGTCCACATTGCTCCGTATTTGGCCACTGTCATATATACAGCTCTTTGATGAGGATCAACTGCAGTTAACTCCTCTCTCTGATTTGCTTTTCAGTGTTGCTTTATGTCCGAAAAGAGTCAGAGGAAGTCTTTGATGCACTGATGTTAAAGACACCATCTCTGAAAGGCCTAATGGAAGCTGTGAGTATGAAGGCTGATTTGTAGTTCTTGCCTCCTGCTTGAGGAAAAAACAAGTGGCCCAGTCAGTGTGTGAAGGACAATCGTAGGATTTAGAATGCTGGTTGCAGTTTGAGTCCGTGTATCTCTGCTGCTTCTGGAAAAGATGCAGAAGGCCAATGCTCTTTCAGTAAAGGGGAAATTAATGTAAATAATGCTTTAGTTCATTGTTGAAAGGGGTTTTGGAAGCTTCCTGTTAAGTGTCTTATTGCACACGCATGAGATCTGGGTGTAAGAAGGTGGTTCTTAACAGTCTTTGAAAATCTGAGCTTAAGAGTCACAAACTGCTAGGCAGTGCTGGACCTCTGGGCTTGTTATTTATGCAGGCTCTTTTGTGGGCATGTGGCAGCAACAAGCAGTTTGTAGGTCTTTTCCTTGAGGAAAAAAAAAGGCAGTGGGTTCCCACTTGGAATGACTTTTGTGGCAGAGATAAGAGCTGAATTAGGAGGTGAAGCAATTTCCAGAGCGTGTTCAATGGCTTGGGTTTATTTCTGTGTGAAAACCACATTTGGGGGCCTTCCTTCCCCTCTGCAGACTGCTAGGGAGGAGCTCTTTCTAAGCCCCAGCTTAGAACAGGGCAGTGTGCTTGGACAGTTTTATGTGTCTGTGCACACAAGCGTGAAATTATTCTCTGGTGCTTGACTTCCAAAATAGCCTTCCACTTACTCCTGCTGCTGTAATGCTGCAAGGGAAGTACAGAGCTTAACTCTGGGGAATGATGTCATGCTTGGCACCAGCTCAGAGTTGCCATTTCTAACCGTCATTCTGTGACTAATGCCTCGTGGAGGCTTGGAAGACAGAGGCCTCAGGGCTGTACAGCCAGGTATTGCCTTCTCTTTGGGACCAGAGATGGCTCTGTAACATGAGACCCTTTCCTGCCCGTGATGTTTTGGAGTGTGATGTTCTTGGTCTGTTCTCCTCTACAAATCTGGATGAGGAATATGAGGCAGAAGAGGAATTTTACTGATGGCTAATTGTGGGAGCAGCTTGAGCTGCTGTGTGCTGGGGCACAGAGGCTTTGCCAGCACACACAGGCTGGAGAGAGGCTGACAGGTAGAGGGAGTGAAGGCTGTGGGGTCCTCCCTTACCCAGGGGCCCTGAAGTAAAACTGAACCTCTGCTGTTTCACTGGGACTTCTCATAACAGGGAATCAAAAGCTCGTAAATACAGTTTGGAGAACCCATCGCATGCTGTTGTGCTCTGAAAGAGCACGTTGGTTTGGTGCTTGCTGTTGATTCAATAGAGCAATTTGCCAAAGTAAATCAGACGTGGTTGCCTTTGTGTATTTGTATGATGACAAGCCATGCTTTGAGGCTGTGGACACTCATGGCTACGGCAGAAATTTGTGATCATTTTGTCTTCAGCACAGTGTTTTGTTGCTCTTTCTTCCTTTATCAGCCACTGTGATGAGTAGTTTTTAACCTGATCTGTCTGATACTGACTTTAAAAATGGCTTTCAATACAGTGAGAGACCAGAGAGCCCAGGGAGGGTGCAGTGTTGTTGTTCTCTCTGTGCAGGCTCCTTGTTGAGTCAGCAGGGAGTTGCTAGATCAAGAATCGGTGCCCAGGTTTAGATCATAATTGAGTGTTTTGCACTGAAGTAAGTGAGAGGCAATCTTAGCAGCCTCCTTGCTTTACAGATGTTTTCTTCTTTTGTTTTAGATATCTGACAAGTACGATGTTCCTTTTGATAAAATAGGAAAAATCTTCAAAAAATGTAAAAAAGGGTGAGTATGTATCCTTGGGGCAGCTCTGAGAACATGAGCTCCTCTCTTTCAAACCCATAGGCAAATCTGCTTTAACTCTTTCTGTGCACTGCATGTATGCAAATGTCATGAGTGTGTGTGTGTGTGTGTGTGTGTGTTCAGGCCCTGAACTAATCCTGTTGCAATGTAACTCAGAGAGCAGTAAAGCATAAGGGTCCTGTAGAGCTAAACACTTGGACTGACTTACTCTATAAATGCCAGTAACTGCACTTGCATTGGTCTTGGAATTGACTGCTATTTGAATCAGACTTGATCATGCCAGATCAGAGTTCAGTTTGTTTAAAGGCTCCAAGTGACAAAGAACCTACTTGAACCCATGCTAAATTATTTGAATGGTTAACTGTGCTCACTGTCTGTATTTGGCTAGAATTACTAAAGCTGGGTGGCTTGTTGTTATTTTGTGTGTGTGTGCTACATTGAGAAGACCCCACTTGTGAAATACCTGTTCCCTGTAAAGGCCACGATCCTTGAGTTCGTAGTTGAGTTTATGAACATGCCTTTATTTTTCCTTTTAATCTTTTAGTAATTTTCCTGGCCCTTCTCCAAAATCACTTCAGTTTCTTAGCTTCTTCCCCAAAGCCCCTCTGCCCAGAAAAATTAATTTACCAGAAAAATTTAATCGCCTTTGGAACGTGATTTCAAATAGTAGTGGTGCTTTCCTAGCAGAATTGCCACGCCAGAATAACTGCGAGAGTTTGGAATTGATGGCAGCTGCATCACTGCTGAGGACAGTTCTGTGTGTTTCAGTGTGTGAAATGCCTGTATGCACACACTTACACACAAATACACAGCTATTCTCACAAATAAAAGAAGTGGCCACATGTCAGCCGTTTCTTCGCTGTGAACTCTGCAGGGGTTATTTATAACTGCTGATTAGTTATAACTGTCAAACAAGCCAGTTCAGAGCCCCAGGGCTGCTAAAGCATGTTCAGCATCTGATGGGATTTGTGCCATTTCTGAGATCTCCTTCCCTCCCAGTTCAGGAGCTACACTTCGTGCTTTCCTTCAGCTGAGAAGTGTGGCTGCAACCCTTGGTGGCAGCTCTGGGTGACAGCAGCTAGATTTGCTATGGCAGGTGCAGATTCAATGCAGGTGGGCAGGAATCTTAGCTTACCTCTGGACAGTCTCAGATTTGAGTTTGCCTTTGCTGTCTTTGGCATTTAGAACTCTAATATTTCCCCAACTTATCTTATTTTTCCAGAATTCTGGTCAACATGGATGATAACATTGTGAAACACTATTCTAATGAAGATACCTTCCAGCTGCAGATTGAAGAAGTTGGAGGATCTTACAAGCTGACTCTCACTGAGATCTAAGATCACGGATCCTCTGTGGATTTTAAGCACAGATCTCGAGTGATCATTTTCCCATAATGTAGTGTGTTGGGTAAAACACCAATCACCTTCTCCAGGAGCAAGTCAGGTGTTGACTTGTTCTGGGGATCAGAGAGGTGTTTTTGCTTGATACCTTTGTCTGTTCTTTCTAGAGAACATTGTAATGCTCATGACCTTATTTGCACTTGAAACCAGTGAGCAAAGAACAGCAATTAAATAGAGCATGTATAAAAGACTAGTAGGTAAGGGAGGGGAAACCCTTGGAAGGTGGCCTTTTAGAGTGGTGATGTCTTATTTATCTATTCGGTACCCACAATTGAGCCTGTTATCAGCTAATAGCGTTTTACTGGACTGTTTTCTGTTAGGTAGAGCTGCAAAACTACTGACTGAAACTGGTAGGAATTGCGTGCAGGTTGGAGAAAAGTCATCATAATGTTTACTCTTTATCAGGGCAGGTTGTTGAAATCACTTGTGTCCTGGGGGGGAATGTAATACTGCCTTGCTTATGAAGAACTCGCCTTAGTAACTGTGTGAACTCTCATCAGATGAAGCTATATTGTATATAAGTGCAATATATTTTTGAAGGTTTGTAAATGTGTACATACAAGTGATATATAATATATATAAAATATGGTGTTTGTGTATATACCATGAATATATGCAAAGAAGCCCATCTAAAAGGATGCCATATACAGAGAAAACAGATATTTAACGTAGCTATTTAAAAAAAGGACAAAGCCTTAACATGCACCAAAGGTGAGCACACATTGGTACGTTCGTAGAGTGCGCAGAGACCTTGTTCAGCATGCATTCTCCTGTGTGGAGGGAAGGGTAGCAGCTCTCCTCAACCTCTCTGGACAGCAAGGCACTGGCAGCTCTGTCTCCTGACTGTCCTGGCTCTGAGCAGGGTGGTCTGTGCTGAGGCCGAGAGGCTGTGCCCAAGAAACGCTGAGCACATTCAGGTTCCTTGAGGGGTCAGGAAGTCTCCTGGAGGGTGGATTTCTGTCTGGCAGTATGCTTAGGGTTCCCCCAGCCCTCTGCCAAGCCCTGTGGCAGTGGCTCGGTCTGGGGAAGTCCAGTGCTTGGCAAGGTGTTGGGTGGTGGAGCAGGGAACCGGGGCCGTGGACCAATGAGGGCAGCTGGTAGCAGCAGTCAGTCTGGTCCCAGCTGCCAGAAACCTCCAAAAAACCTCCAAAACCAGCCACTGCAGTAAGCTCTATAGTGCTTACTCATTGTGCCTTTGTGCTTAGGAAGGGAAAGTGCCCTCTGGTTAGCAGCAAGGGAGAGGTACACAGTAGGAGCTACAGCCACCTGCACTGCAGGCTGGGATGTGAGCGGGTAGGAAGTTCTGGGACCGGTGCTGATGGCAGTGGTCTGCGTTAATGGGAGGTTTGCAGCACAAAGTTGGGGGGGTTGGACGTGCGTTGCCCTGGGTTGACCCGGGTAGGCTGGAGAAGTAGGCTGGCAAAGTAGGACGTGATTCTGCTGAATGGTTTGTGTGTGTCCTGAGCCATCAGTGAGTGGTAACCCAGTGTTGTCTGGCTGCATCATGCTGCTGTTTGGAAAAGGGACGTAGATGCCACACTGAGTTTCACAAACAGAAGCACATGCTGCAGAATGCCTGAGCCTCACCTGGTGTCCCACTGGGCTCTGAGGGAGCTTCAGCCACAGCACGGTGCCCTGCTCAGGGCTGGCCCTTGCCACTGTTGTGCTGCCAGGAGCCCAGGGCTGAGGGAGCAGAGTCTCCAAACGTGTTGATGTGTGCTCCCACTCCTTGTGCTGGGCTTACGTTGCAGAAATTCAGGTTGCAGATGGAGAAGGTTGCCCAGGGAGGGCTGTGGCCTTTGGCATCAGAGCTCTCCAGAGCCAGGCTGGATAACGTACCCTGGTGGCTGTGGGTACAGTTAATCCTGTCCTGGTGCTGGGGTGAGGTTTCCAACCTGAAATCCCTCCCCGCCATATATTTTATTGTTTTATGACTTAGGTGGACTGTGGTATTTTGGGATTTATGCTCAGGCCGACCCCGGGCAGGCTCTCAGAGCGTCCCATTCCCCCTCCTTTCCTCTCAGCACCACGTGCCCACCTGCTAACATCCTGCTTGGGCCCGGAGTGAGCTGGCATGGCCCTGCCCTCCATTGGGCTTCCCTTGCGAGTTAGGGGCACTGCTGCAAGGGGCTTTTTTAAACCTGATATATAGAATCCCTATCTGTTGACACATTTGTATCGAAAATGGAAGTTCTATTACAGAATCTCAGTCTGGGGTCAGGGAAGTAGTTTAGGGTCTCTGTAGGGGTAGGGTTGACACGACTGTTATTTCTTTTTTACTGTGTAATGAAGTATGTGAACTAAATCTGCCGGTTGTTTTCCTCTAAGGCTCTCTGGGACACGGGTCTTCTCTCTGTAGCAGCAACCTCATGTATGTGTTATGGAACTGATTTTTTGGTTTTGCCTGCTGTTTTTTAATTGAAAACGTATTTTAAACCAAGCTATTAAATTTTATATGTTCATTTCTAACGCTGAGTCCTCTGTGCAGTGAGCACGGCTGCCTTTCCTGGCCTCTGCGACAGCGACAGGGCCCGAGGGAACGGCGCGGGGCGGGGAGGGGGGGTCGGGGCGGGCTGCGGGTACGGCACGGGCTGCCTAGGGCCCGAGCGGCTGCACTGTAAGGGGCGTTTGAACGGCGCTCTCAGAGCTGGGCTTTGGGTTCGGGGCGGTGCTGCGCGGAGCCGGGGCTGTCCTTGCCGACTCGGGACGCCGTATGAGTCACTGCCAGCAGCGCGCAGTGCGGCGCTCCGCTCTCGCAGTCTGGGCTTGAGCTGCGGCGTGGGGCTGGGAGCCTCGTGTCCCCGCGTGCGCCCGGCCCTCCCTCCCCGTCGGCAGCCTTCTGGAGCCCCGGCTTGCAGGGACGGGCCCCGTTTAGGTGTGACGCGGCGTGGGTGGGCGGGCTGCAGGGCAGGGCCGGGCGCGGAGCACAGCTCGCGCTTTATCCGTTCATCGCCGGCCCATAACGGGGCTGCCCCGGGGCAGCACGTGGGTGGGTGTGCGCGGGGACCGCTCCTCCCGTAAGCGTATATGTAATGAGGAAACGGGCGTTCTACGTGAGCGGGTAGGGGCGGGAGAACGGCTTTAACCTAAAAGGGGGAGATTTGAGTTAAAAGGGAGGAGGAAACGCCGCACTCGGAGCGCGGTGGGAGCCCCATCCCGAGGCGGACGCGCTCCGTGCAGCCGGAGCCGTGCAGCCGGAGCCGTGCAGCCGGAGCCGTGCAGCCGGAGCCGTGCAGCCGGAGCCGTGCAGCCGGAGCCGTGCAGCCGGAGCCGTGCAGCCGGAGCCCTGCCCGCCGCACGCGGACGGCCCTCCCCTCCCCCGCGCCGGCCCGCCGTCCACGTGCAGCGCGGCACGCACTCGGGGGGAGGGGAGTTCCGGCCAGGCCCCGCCCCCGCCCCGCCCCGCCACACCCCCGGGCATTCCCGGCCGCCACTCCGCCCCCCGTTCCGTCCCCCGCCCGACCTTTCCCCCAGTTTCCAGCTCCTCTCCCCCGCCCCCTGGCGAGCCGCCTTCCCGCCCGCCGCCGCGGGCCGCGCCCACGCGCCGCCCCCCCCCTCCGGCAGCGCCCCTGCACGCCGCGATCACGCCGCCCGCCGCCTCCCATTGGCCGCGCGCGGTTCGCGCCGGGCGCCGATTGGCGGAGAGCCTCCGCCCCGCCCGCGCCGTCTGGCGCGCGGAGCTCTCGGCGGCTCGCGGCGCGCGGGACCGTCGGTGCCGGCCCCGCGGGCAAAAAAAAAAAAAAAAAAAAAAAAAAAAAAAAAATAAGCGGCCCCCCGCCCTCCGCCGCGCCGGCTCCCGCCTTCCCGCTCGCGTCGACGCGCCATGCACGGCTCGGGTTCGCCCTGCCCGGAGATGGGAGATGCGGCCGCGGTGAGCGACGCGGGGACCGTTACCCCGAGGGGGGCGGCCGGGGCCGGTGCCTAACGGGATTGGAGCGGGGGGCCGTCGGGGCCGTTAGCTGCGGGGATGGGGCGCTCGGGGCCGGGATCTGAGGGGCTCCGTCCTGGCAGCGCGGCGGCCCCCTTATCCGGCTCCTGCCGACGCCGCGCCGGGCGGGGTGAGACGGGGACACGCGTCCCGGCCGTGAGCCGCTGCGCGGATCTCCGGCGCTGACGAGCTGCCCGTGCGCGTAGCGGCGGCGATGTCGCGCATCCGTATGTCCGTGATGCAGCGGAGCCCCGCTCTGTGAGTCAGTCCCAGAACTGCGGGCCACGAGAGCCCCGATGACATCACCCAGGAAGCGCGGTTCCCTCGGCTCCGGAGGCCGTGGCAGCGGCGTGGCACTGCCTGCTTTTTTTAGTTCCCCTTTTCTTTTTGCGGCAGGGCTGCAGCGCTCGTCCTGCGCCTCCCGTCCCGGTGCCGGCAGGGCGCCGAGCAGCCGCGCTGCCGTGTGCTGCCGGAGCTCTGCCACGCTCGGGTTTCCTGTGCGGGAAGGCTGGGTGTTGCCTCGCGTGTGGCTGCGCACCCCTAGCTGTGCCGCTCGCCTGTGGACGCACACCGATAGCGTTCCTGCCCGTTGTCTTCGCGCTGCTCGGTGCCCTTTGGGATACCCGGCACCTGTGCGGTACCGTACGTTTCTTAGCACAGTTTTTCAAAGTGCTGCATACGAAGAAGCCCTGCTGTGCTCTGGAAGCTCCTTGCCTTCCTTTTTCCCCACTAGCTAAAAATAAAATGGAAATGCTTTGCACAGCATGGAACCCCCAGGCTCAGAGCATCGTGCTGTCAGCCTCAAGTGTGTTTTCCATGCGCTCCGGCAATGAGATTAGTGCTAATGAGCAGCCATCTTCTGGGGCCAGGAGACAGCCTTGTCTAAACAAGGTTGGAAGTTCATCCCTTCTTTCTGCTTGTATACAGACAAGGAATGTGTTTATACAGAGCAGTGCTATCCAGGAAAAGAACTCTGGAAACCTGAGCTCCATATTAAACCTATCAATTCCTTTTCTGTGAGGGTGGCTTTTTGGTCTTGCTTGGTTGATTTTATTTATTTATTATTTATTTATTTGTGATCTTTTTTTGTTTTCCCCCTTTTTTTTTCCTTTAGAAGGGTAACAGGGTGGGGAGACGAGCTGGCAGGGGGAGGGTGAGAAAGGAGCTGATGGGTAAAAGTCCTGCTGCAGGCATGGGATCTGTTTCAGATGACCTTCATGGTGAGCAGACAGCATGTGGGTGGTGTCAGCTTTGTATTCTGACTCGTGCTAATAGCCAGTAATCCGATTACATCCAGGTTGACATTGTGGATATCTATGAGTCCATCCGGGAGCGGCAGCGCCATGACAGCGAGCGTTCCACCTGCAGCACCTTGGAGCAGAATGACATCGAAGCCGTTGAGGCACTTGTTTGTATGAGCTCCTGGGGGCAAAGATTGCAGAAAGGTGACATATTAAAGATAAGGCCTCTCACGCCCTTCTCGGATTCTGGAGATTTCACAATGCACGCTGAGGCTACTTCTGAATTACCAAAGGATTATTTATCTACGCTGGTAAGGAAGGCGTGACTGCAAAATAAGCGTGTGACACCTGGCTGGTACATCTCTGCCGTGTTTTGGCTTAGCTGAGGAAGATACCTCGCTTGTGTGACCGTGCATAGAACAGTGGCAGTGTGACTCGTGCTGTGTGTGTACATGCAAATCAGCAGCGTGGGGTTTCCTGCTGTTTCTGGGATGGCGAATGTAGGAGTTTGGTCTCCTGTTAAATCTTGGTATAAAAGCTCCTGCTGTCAGGAGCAGCACAGAGGAAGGCTGTTTCGGTGGTTGGATGTTTGAGAGAATCGCAGAGGGGCTGAGGTGGGCAGGGCCATCTGGGTGCATGAAGCACAGTCCTGCTGCAGCAGGGACACCCAGAGCGGGGTGCCCAGCACCGCATCTGAGGGTCCCCGAGGAGGAGATCCCACAGCTCTGGGCAGCCTGTGCTCCATCACCTGCACTGCACAGAAGTGCTGCCTGGTTCTTGGAGCATTTGGAGTACAAAAGGCAGATTGAGCCTCAGTGATTCAGCGCTGACTTATCTGGAAGGCCTTTAGGAGGAAGGTTCTTGACGACATTTGGCTTCACGCAGATCTCTAGTACAGCTTACCATTATGAAACAGCAAATTTAATTGGTTTTTATGCTGTGTGTTTCTACACGCAGTTTATTTTTCCAGAGCATTGGCCTTCTCTGACTGATTAATGTCAGTTGAATCACAACTTTTTTTTTGTTTCAACCTATGTTGCAATAGAAGTAGATTTAAAAAAAATAAAAAATGAAAGACTTGTCATTTGTGTTTTAGAAGGCTAACACCTATTTCAGCCAGTGGCTTTTAGTATGAAGTTACGTCACAAAAAGAGAATAGGAGAGGCAAGTAGGCTGGGATGATACAGCAACTGACTGGTAGGCCTCTTCTGTTATACTCCTGCCACTCAGTTCTGGAACTCTGGAGCTGCGCAGCAGACAGGCATGGGTTGGGATTTCAGTGTTAAGAGGGGCAGGAGAGGTGGCAGCAGCAGGAAGTCACGGGGGGTGGGTGGGTGCGTGGGCTATGGGGAAGAGCAGTTCCATTTGTGTTTGTCTTGGGAATAGCCACCAGCTGCTGGAGAGGTCATTATTTGAAGATCTTAAATAATTAAAGTATCATTTATTATTAAATTAAAGATAAAAATATTGAAGTCTTACTGGAATATTGAAGTTCACATGGTACAGTTCTGCTATCTATTGCTCTGTCTCTGTGATCAGCAGAGCGCTCAGAGCCTCTTATGTCTGCACCCATTGCTGGGAGAAGAAATGAGGGAGTTTCTGTAGTGCGCTGAGTAGACACGCACCATTTTACGTGGGTTTGCAATCTGCCCCATCGCCTTCCTTTTATTAATTAGCACACTTCTGAGCCTCTTCTGAATGACCATCAGATGAGGCAATGCAAGCTTTAATTGCTTTCCCCAAGCAGCGGTTTCTGAGGTTCTGAGGAGCAGGTGTGATTTGATTTTTGCACTAAAGGCTGTGCGCCGGGTAGCAGCGCTGTATAACAGTGCTTTCTTTCCGCAGTGCATGACCCCCCCGCACAGCCCCGACCTTGTGGAGATGTCTGCCGCCATGCTGCTCCCCTCGCAGGTCACTTACTCCAAGCCCAGGACCGTCATGGCAAGCACGGCTGCCTGCTTGGTCACATCCACTACCGACTCGACTCCCGCGGCCAAGCCGTCCATCCTGAGAGTGGAGAGGCAATGTGAGCAGAGGGCGGCCCTCGCGGAGGCCTCTGCCCCTCAGCCTTGCAGGGCCATGGCGACGAGCGTCATACGGCACACAGGTGACAGCTCTGCTTACCACCAGGGTCCTGCTGCGCGAGAGAAAGCAAAGGCAGCTTCGGGCTGCGGCACTTCTGGAGACCGGAGTGGAGCAGAGGACCGAAGACATTCCAGCCTGCCGCAGGACACGTGTGCTGCCGATGCTTTAGTTAACAAAGCCTCTCCGGTACGCCAGCCGTGTGCTGGTGACTGCAGTGATGTCATGCCCAGCCAGGGACAGCTTCCAATCAGACCTGTTTCTCCACAGACCCACTTACCAAAGAGTTGCGAGGACGACTTGCAAAAAAGAGCTACCCCAGTGCCACCCGTCCCCGTGTCAAGCCCCCAGGTTCTGTGTCAAATGATCCCTTTGAATGGCCAAAGCGGTGTGATTAATGCCTACGTCAAGCCTTCAGCTCCAACCGTCTCGGCTCCGATGAAACCCATTTTACCGCAGACAGCTCCGCTCTCTCAGCCTGTGCTCGTGGGATCTTCTGTGCCTCAGGGGGCCGTCATGTTGGTGCTTCCACAGACTGCTGTCGCGCCGACGCCGCAGTGCCCGCAAACAGTAATGACTGTTGGGAACACCAAGCTGCTGCCCCTTGCTCCTGCCCCCGTGTTCATCGCTTCTGGTCAAAGCTGCACCCCCCCAGATGGACTTTTCGAGACGGAGGAATTATGTTTGCACCTTCCCCGGGTGCAAGAAAACCTATTTCAAGAGCTCCCACCTCAAAGCCCACCTTCGTACCCACACTGGTGTGTAACGTGGGGTGAGCTGTCATTGGGGTGTTGAAGGGTGCGTGGCAGCGGGCGGGAAAGGGAAGGGGCAGGTGGTCAGGGGTCTTGTGCTCATCTTGGAGAAGAGAAGAATGCTCATTCTCCATGGGCAAGCAAACAAAACAGACTTTGTTCTGAGACCTCAGCCGACCCTGTAGCGTTGGTTGAGTTTCACATGCTTTAGTCGGAGCAAAGCTTTGCCCTCTGTGTGCATGTGTTTAGATTTGAGTGGAATTCTGCCAGCTGGACTGGATTGCAGTGAATTGTGCAAGCCTTTATTTTGAGTATGGAGGGGTCTGGTGTAAGCAGTCCATAGTACAGGTAGTTGTTCTTAATTTGTACGTGAATGAAGGAAAAGAGACATTCCAGTACTACTAATACTACTATGTTTAGAATTCCTAGAGTTTTGGCTAGGCTAAATAGGTGTGTGTTAAGATTTTGGGTTAGAGTGTTAGGAAGCAGAGCTGCTGCAGGAATATAATTGGTTTTATGTTAAGTAATTGTAAATCAGTTACAATTAATATGATTTGTTCCATAATATCTGGTTAGTGTAGAGGCAGTGTAAATGTGTTGTACCTATTCTCTTTTTAACTCTCAGATCCTGTTTAGTCAAAACTAAATGTTGAGTTCTTGGAAGGGACTATTTCTGATGTTGAGGAACAAGCATATCGGGTGATTGATAAAGAAGAGTTCATATAAATGTTTGTCTAAATTTTTTTTCCTTTGCTTATTTCTGCCACCCTCTGTGGTTCCAAGGCAGGATGTGCGTTAGTTTGCCAGCTTGTTTGTCCAATTCCTATGAGAACAGAGCTTAAGCCCCGTATGAAGCTGATAATCCCTGTAAACTGGAGCTCAGAGACAGAATGATGGTTCTGCTTCTGGTCTGTGGCAGCAAACCTCTCCCTTGTCACGTACCACCACTGACCCACGAGGAGAGCTGTGTCTGCTGTGATGTTAAGATGAGCACCCGTGGCTGGGGAAGCACACAGTCCCATCACTTGCCACCCTGCTGCGCAGCATCAGTGGGCAGAGCAGCAGCAGCTTGCTTTTCCTGCTTCGTCCCACTCACTGAGCAGCTAGGTGGGCATCATGCACACCGAGCTTCACTTGCCTTCTGCAGTAAGAACACTGCTGCTGCGGTGCATCTTTTCTGCTGGACTTCTTGCTCCGCTCCAAAGAGTTCCCCAGACTTGTGGTGAAGGGTAGATGTTTATCTTGTTTATCTTGAGGTCTATGAGGGCTGCAGGCAGCAGGTCACATTGTTTAGGATGGGTGTGATGTTAAGCAGTCACCCAGCATGAGAAACTTCTGTTGAAAGCCTTCCTGGCTGCTATCTTTCCCTGGCATCCAGAGCTCCTGTAGGAGTCTGGGTCTCCGGGCACGTGGGCTGTCAGAGCACAGTGCTCCCTGATGTGCTGCATCGGTGTGTGGTCACTTCAGCAGGACTGGGAGCGTGAACCCCATGTTTTCTTGTTGCCCACAGCATTTGCTAATGATGCATAGTGGTTGTAGGGCTGTGGCCGCATAGGAGGGATGGGCTCAGGGATTTGCTTTTGGTTAAGTCTGTAGTTAACATAGCTTCTCTTTAAACAAATGGACTCTATTAAAGAACGTTCAAAGAGATGTGAGGAAATAAGGGGAAAAGAGACCTTCGCTTTTTCTCTGCAAGTCAAATTCAGCTTGTACTCGAGCTAGCGGTGGCTGCACGGATGGGCAGTTTTGGAAGCTGTCAGATTCTGCAAAGTAGGGTATGACACAGCTCTTTGGTAAAACAGAGCTTAATGAAAGTTATCTTTCTTTTACGTCCTGCAGGAGAAAAGCCCTTCAGCTGCAACTGGGAAGGCTGCGACAAGAAGTTTGCCCGCTCAGATGAACTGTCACGCCACCGCAGAACTCACACGGGAGAGAAGAAGTTTGCCTGCCCCGTGTGTGAGCGCCGCTTCATGCGCAGCGATCACTTGACGAAGCACACCCGGCGCCACATGGCCACCAAGAAGATCCCCAGCTGGCAGACAGAGGTGGGCAAACTGAACAGAATTGCCACGGCGGAGAAACCGAAAAGCAGCAGTGCTCTGAGTATGCTCATCCCCGTGCCACCGTCTGTCTGTCAGGGCTAGTGGGACAAGGCGCCTTCTCTGAAACTGTCTGTAACCCGTGAAGAGCTCTGCTGGCTGCAACAGAACTGACAGCGTGCCCCTCTTCACCCCTCGGCGTGTTTGTTTGTACATACTTCAGTTCCCTTCATTTTAGGTCCTCTGTTAATAATGCTAGGTGAGAAATCTATCCTGTTTCCTCATCCTATTTGTTTGTTCAATATTTGGGCAGATGCAATCACCAGCACTTCAGGAAAGCGGGACTCTTTTGAAATGATTTTGACAATAGGTTTAAACGAGTCATTGCTTGCTGTTAATATTTTGATGGACAGTGAAACAGGGTGATTTTTAATTTTTTATACTAGTGTTTTCTATACCAAATATATTTTGTATTTATTCCTTTGAATCTTCGTATGCAGGCTTACTTGACCTGCGTTAGTAGAGGTGTGCAGGATGAAACCCAGGGCTTTGGAAACTACTTTCCTGTGAGCCTAAGCAAATGCATTCAGAGCATTCTGTAAGTATGTAACGTTTGAAAATTTGGTGTTTGGGATTTTCACGCTTCTGGATTCTGATCCTCCAACAGACTGGTGCTGTTAGAGCCTCCTTGTGCAGGTGACATTGGAGGTTGGAGAGCCTGAGGTCTAAGCCTGTCACTGTTTATAAACAAAACAAAAGCCAGCTAAAAACCAACCCAACAAAACCATCCTAGAATGACTTTCAGAAAAGAAGTGTTGAAATCCTCAGCACCCCATCAGTTCATATTCTTTGCAAGTGGCAGCTGTTGTGACTTTTAGTAAAGCTTGACACACTGGGTGTTCCTGGGTCCCCACTCTGCCTGAGCAGAGCACTGGGAGCCAGGCTGCTCTGCTGGATGTAGAAGCACAAACACTGTTCAGAAGCTTTGACACTAGAAACGATGCTTTACTTTCAGCCCTACTAAATCAGCGTATTAAAGTACTGAAAAATCGCAAAAATGGCAAGATAACCTGTGAGTGATTAGCTGGGTCTCTGCATATATTTTTTTTTTAATACAGCAAAAATATAAAATTAAGTTTACGCATTGTGGATGCTTATGCACCTTATAGAAAATTGTTCCAGACTTTTGATGACCTGTATCAAAGCACCAGGAGAAATGCTAGTCATGTCTTAACAAACAGCCACCTTTGTCAGCGCGAGGATGCTCTTCACGTGGCCTTATACTTCTCCACAGTACTTTGTATCGCATCACCCTTTTCTATTAAACGAGATACTCTCCCCGTTGGTTGGATTTTCTTTCACACCCCATGTAAATGTGACTGAGGAGTGGAACGGCTGGCTGCAGGGCACTGTGCTGCGCTGGCCTGCTGTGAGCAATGAGATGCAACACCCCTGCTGTGGCCAGCTTGTACAGGAGGGTACCTGTGTGCTGTGTGCTGAGAAGTGCCAGCTGCTGTTTTGCTGGCTGAAGCTCACCTGTTATGAAGTATTTCTATAGTGTTCACCCTCCAGGGCTCCTATCTTCAACCGTTCCTATACTGAGCTCATTTGAGTGCTGGAGAGCACTTTTTTTTTATTTATTTTTTACCTGAATGTGAAAATGCAGGTACATAGGAATGCGCTGTATCCTGCACGGCTTTGTTCTAAACACGTGGTCTTGTTTCTCAGCATGGGCAAAGTGCTGCTCTCATTTAAGCAGACTTGCTGATCTCAGCACTCCCCTGAAATCAGCAGAGGCCTTTTTCAGTTGAAAGCTGAATCTGTCATTATTTTTACACTTCGCTCTATAGTTATAATTACTGGTAACAAGTTTCCAGCCTGCACAAGAGCGTTGTGCTGGGTGTATTGAAGTGCTGTGCCTCACCTTTAAAACGCCCACACCCTGCTTGTGTGCTGCACCATCATCCCACAGGCAGCATACATGTTGGGGAGTGTGTGCACATGCAGCTTTGTGCTTCCCCCTTGTAGTGAATGTGTGCACTTCGTGCGGTGTAGAAAGAAAGACTTTGCTCTGTTTTGCTCAGAAGTTCCCTAGATTAGGAAGTTTGACTTCTGGTTGCCACTGTAACACACTTATAACTTGGGAGAAGGTTGGCCTGTCTCAGTCTGCCGGCCCATTTAGTCCTGAGCAAAGCCATCTGGGGACTCACATCTCCCTCCCTGTTTTTTTGTGACCAGTGGTGATTCCTGCAGCTCCTGGGAGGTGTAGAAGCCCATGTGTGGCCTCCTACCTCCTGCGTCCTGTGAGTGTTCCCAAACAGCTGGGCCATGCTGTGGCTGCTGGCTCTGTTTGCTCTGCTCCTTCCTGCTGTATAAGCATTATTTATGGATTACACGTGATGGGGGGCACTGCTCTCACTCACTGCCTGAATGACACCCTCCAGTCTCTTTGAGCATTTTAAAGAAGTGGAATTCTGGTTTTGTATCTGTTTTTTTAGCTTCTACTGAAGGAATTGTGTGATGTGACTGTTTTTAAATCATTAAAAGGTGTGAGTTTTCAGATTTCCTATAAAGATCTGCTCCAGAGCTATGTAAAAAAAATAATATGGATTATGTTATCTATTTAGCCAGTAGAAGACTCACTGGTTTACCTACCATCAAATGAAAGACCTTTTTGGTTCTTCGCCTGTATTTATGTGTACATCACCACCGTGGTGTGGGGTTTTTGCATGCTGCCTGAAAACAGGAGTCTCGGGGCTCAGAACTGTGTTCTCCTAGCATGGCTTCTAGAAGCAGCATGAAAGGTGCAAATAAAGAAGAGATAAGAATGTGACTCAAGTATGGCTGCGTTAGCCCTGCTTCTTCCCATTCCTGTGCGCTCTGGGTGTGACCCGCAGGTCTCAGCTGGGAAGGATGTGGCCGGGAGGATGCCAGCACACGAACTCCTTGTTTACACTTTCAAGCATCTCTGCCGTTCCTTTCCCTCTGGCTGGTTCCCGGATTGCAGCAGTATTTATTTCTAGCAGGGCTGTGTTTCTAAATGGCAGGTTCTGGTTTCCACTACATCAGTGCCATGGGAATGGGGTGGGCGCATAAGGGAAGTGGAATGGGAGAAAAGAGGAAGGGGTGTAATGAAACCGACTTTGTCACAGCTGCTCGCAGCAAGGTGACCCACTCCCAAGGTCAGAGCCCCCGGAGCTAGCCAGGAGCGAGGCCTCAGGGCAGAACAGCTGGGTACTCACACTTTGGCATACAGCTCACCCTTAGGCTACAGCTCAGGCTCCTGCTTCAGCGGTTGAGACTGTGCTGAGTGTGCAGGAGGTGGCATTTGGTGGCTTCCCCTCATGGCCGTGCAGACTCCTGCATGGCAGCATCTGACACGTGGGGCTGCTGGGTGCATCTCCCAGTTCCATCTGTGAGCCCATATGGCTGCTGCCTTCCAATCATGGCTGGCGAGGCAGCTTGAGACAGGCAGGTTGTGGCCACGAAAAGGCAAACTCACACATGCAGGAACAGCAAATGATGACTCAGAAAATGGCAGCGCATGGGCTGAGGAGGCTGCAAGATGGCTGAGGAGGCTGCCGTGACACCTCAACTGCACTCAGCCATCACAGCGCGCTCTGTGGGATCGCTCCTCTGTGGGGTGTGTTGGCACTGAGGCAGTTTCTTTCATGATCAGTTTCTTCCTCCAGCAAACGCAGCCTCCTTCAGTTTCTGCCTCAGTCCTGGAGCGTGGGAGAAGGAAATTGGGTAATGCTCACTTCCTGATGCGTACAGATGGCCACGAGCGCATCTCATGCATGCAGACAGCCTCAGCAGGCCAGAGCATGCCCTTTCCTGGAAGAGCTTTTTTTTAGATGAGAAGAATACTTCAGATTTTATTTTCTCCCTTGTGATCTCTCTTGAGTTCACAGCAGCTCTTTGTTTCTCAGCGCAGAGCCTGAGAAACCATTGCACAGCTTGCAGCCGCTTCTTCCGACCCCACCTTTCCTTCTCCCCGGAGCATGGACTGTCCCAGCTCACTGCACTCTCCTCCTCCTGCAGCTCCTCCTCTCGTGGTAGCACTGAGGTTTGCCGTGAATGAAACCTGCCGTCCCCTAATCCTGGGAGCAGACGCGTTCTTGTTCCTTCACTGTCCTACCAGCTTCTTTCACGGAGAAGCTCAGGGGTTTGCTGCACTGCAAGAGAAATTTCCTGCAGCCTAACAGGAATACACTCTATTTAGAAATATTTGTGCCTTCTAAAATTACTCAATTTCTGCAGAATTGCTGAAGTACAGACTTTATTTTAGGAGAGACTGAAATGGGTTGTAAGGATACACCTGGCCTAGTTAGCGACTGCAGCCGCAGAGAGAGGCTGGAAGTGACATGAAAGCTGGGCAGGGCACAGAGCCCCAAGGCCGCCTGCAGAGCTGCAGTCAGGAGGCCTCCAGTGTTTTCCCGGCACACATCTGTTCTGCTTGCCACAGGAGGTCTTTGAGAGCTGCCAAAAGCTAACACAAGCGGCAGGAGATCCAATGGATGTGCTGCAGAGCAGTGGCTCGGCAGCCATGGGTCTAAACCTAAATAATTCTGCTCCCCACAAAAAGTGCTGGCGTTCAAAACAGGATTTTTTCCAGGAGACTCTGCTTCAAAACCACTGTTGCTTTTATTGAAAGGTACATAGAATACAGATGCATATATTTCTCTTTCACAAATACCTGCAATGATGAAGACATCATAATACAGCATCTTAAGATGTGTCCTGCTGTTTCCTCTTGCATTCACACTCTGTATTTCATCTGATATCTTGAATACTTCAGCTAAAGATAGAAATTAGGTATTTTTCTACTTCTGTTAAGAAGCAGCTACTCATGATACATTAAGATGCAGATAAAACAAAGGCAGAAACCCCACAACACAAGGCTTCCCTATTGGGGAGCACAGAAAACATTATTTTCTTCAGAGATCCACAGCCTTTCTGTTTTACTTTGGATCAGCTAAGGATATAACACAGTGATTTTTCTGCCAGGGTGCAGTAATGCATCAGAGCTTGCTGCATTTCACAGCGCACTCCCAAACTCAGATCTATATCGAATGATTTTGCTGCACTTTATTACTGCCAGGACAAAGCAAAGGTCTTCTTCCCTAAAGCACCACATCTCAAAAAGCTAGTAAATCTGGTAAAAAGGCCATTTCAAGAGGAGCTTTGAGATACTGATTCACAAGGTGTGCTTTTTCTGGTCTTTCTGCTTGCACTCCTCCTCACCATCCCAGGCATTGCGTTCTGCTGGCAGCTCTGCTGCTCCAGCCATGCCCCATGTGTGGTTTCAGCAGCCATACTCCCGCTCGATGCTGGCCATCAGTTCCTCTTCTGAGCCATGGTACAAGATGGCCGGGCACCCCACTGACTGCTTGCTGCCCTGTGATGGGCACCTGCAGGTGGAGGGAGCAGGTTATTGCATCATAGAATCACAGAATCATAGAATGGCCTGGGTTGAAAAAGACCACAATGATCATCCAGTTTCAACCCCCCTGCTATGTGCAGGGTCACCAACCACCAGAACAGGCTGCCCAGAACCACATCCAGCCTGGCCTTGAATGCCTCCAGGGATGGGGCACCCACAACCTCCTTGGGCAACCTGTGTCACGTCCTAATATCTAACCTAAATCTCCCCGTCTCAGTTTAAAACCATTCCTCCCTGTTGCTGCTGGGAAGGAAGCCGCACTCCCTCATTGCCAACTTCATCATCGGGTGAATGGGAAAATGGCAGTGCTCTGGCTTGCTGAGATGCTGCTACTCTAATGCATCAGATTTCCACACTCCATGGGCACACCACTGGCTGACATTTTCTAGCACTTGGCACCTATTCTAGTCAGTGAGATTGTTACAGTGAAATCTGTACAGTACTCAAACTCCTGTGCTCCATAATGCTTGGTAAGCTACGGCCATGGCCCATCCAATACGCTGCATATCCTTTAACACCAGCTGCTAGTTCCAAGGTTTCATCCAGAAAGGAGCTTTTTGTTATTATCCGACCACCATGTGCATGCCCTGTGGCCTTTGTCCTTTTTAAGGGAGCTGGATGTTGCCAATAAGAATGATCACATTGGTATTTTTGTGCTTCTGCTTTTGAGAGATGTAAGGTAAAAGGTAATGCTATAAAACACCAGGCCCCAAAAAGCGAGGTACTGATTGAGAACATGTGCAAGGTTCTTCCATGGGAACCTCTGCAGCACTACGGGGTGTTCCAACCAAAGTAAGAGCTCAACTCCTTCCAACTGCTCCTATGGTTTAGTTATTTCTCTCTCACACAAGTGATGTCTGATCCCCCATCGGTAGGGGACTGGCCCGGGTTTTATTGGCACTGTAAAAATCACATCCAACAGCACATATCTGGCTCTGCCATTATTTAGCAACCACTGACCCACTGCTTCTCTAAGGATGAGGCCCAGCACAGCTGGGTTGAACTTGGTCATTAGCATCCCCACATCTTGCCTGTGTGCTGACTTCCAGGCAGGAGAGAAAGTCTCCAGGTAAAATTCAGGTTCAGTGACACACAGAGGGGATTTCAAACAGACGGAAGCAACCCACTATCATGCAAAAGGAAAGCAAGCTGCTGCTTGGGTCCTTTCTGCTGTTGTGGCAGTTATCCATCACTTAACATGGAAAAACTGAAATAAACCAAAAACAGAGACATCCCACCTGCATAAAAGGAGAAACCCCTCCAGCAGGAAGCCTGCAGCTGTGCACGCTGCATCACTGAGCCTTTTCAGGGCCAGGCCAGACAGGACCCTGCACTGAGGTGGCTTTGAGCAGGAGGTCAGTCCGAGGCCTCCGAGGCCTCCCAGCCTGAGCCTTCATCTCAAGGAATTAAGCTGGGGCTGAGAAACGAGAGCAATGGGGGTGCCACATGGCATGCCATTGGACCTGCAGCATCACGGTGCTGCCCGCTGAGTCCTGCTGAGAGCTGCTGGACTTGGTGACTTGAAAATTGGAGGTTGGGATGTTGGGAAGGAATTGTTCAAACCCAGCAGCCCTCAGGGAGCCAGAGGCATGAGAAGCAATGGGGGAGGACAGCATGGGAAACACAACCCATCGAGATCACTGCAGAGACTTCCTTTGAGTAAAATACTAGAGTTACTAACGGCTTAGAAAGCAGCAGTAAGAGTGATCAGAGAGGCTAAAGCAGTTTAGAAAAGGAGAAAGCAAGGAATGTGCTCCATTTCAGCGACCAGACTCTCTGTGTTTAAGTATGGTTAAGGGAAGGGGGAATATTTTTAATGGAAAGACAGTGAACTTTGCAATGAGGAGAAGGAAACACAAAGGGCAGGATTAGCTCAAAAGTGAGCTATGGAGTCTGCTGACAGTGTCCCTCATGAGTGGTAGCCTCCTAGGTAGGAACCCCAGGATCACAGAATGGTGATGGGAGGGACCTCTGGTGGTCATCTGGCCAAGTTAAGCAAGTCAGCCCCAGTTAAGAGCCTGAAAATCACAGAATATCTCCAGTGAGAAAGGATTCACATGGATCCCCAGGTCCAACCCCTGGCTCCACACAGGAGCACCCAAGATCCAAACCCTGTTTCTGAGAGTGATGCCCAAACGTTCCTTGAACTCCGGCACTCGGGGCCATGCCCACTGCCCTGGGCAGACTGCTCCATGCCCACTGCCCTCTGGGGCAGAGCCTTTCCCTAACCCCTGAATGAGTCCAATCAGAATGAGATGGGATGAATCTAGGCCACTGTTTTTTATCTTTCTGCTGAGGATGGGAAAGTACAGGATTAATCATTAAAATGCCCTCTGCAAGACCTAGCAGCCGAAAAATGGGTCAAAGCCACGCTTGGATAACACTGCGCATGACACAGGGGTTGAAAGCAATTATAAGATTGTTGTGACATTCCTGAGCCATGTCATTCAATTGGTGGACTGCCACCGTTCGTGTGGGAAAAAAAGAGGTAATGTGATACAGCGAAGAACACATACAGATCCCGCTTGGAGGGTGTTCATTAGTGTCTGATTTAGGTGGTTATTTGGTGTCACATTTCCAGCCTCTATCTCACTGGGCTGCTCTTCTAGGTGACAGCAGGAGGTGCTGGCACCCTGCTCTGGGTGTCCCTGCTGGAGCAGGGGCTGGGCCCGATGGACCCAGAGAGTTCTGCCACCCCCACCATGCTGTGGTTCTGTGAAGTCTCCTTACCTCTTTTTTTTCCTCCCTGCCTTTTTCTCCTCAATTTTCAGATTAACACATACCTCAAGGGCAGAGGGGCTGTGTGACAACCCAGCACTGAAAAGAGTCTCTCCTCAGTGCAAGGAGATGGTTTTCCAATCCTTTTAGTTACTTCTCAGTTTCTCTAACACATGCATGAAACTGCTCCCACTGTTGCTGGCAGACCTGGGGACACAGTCAACATTGCTGTTCGTGAAAGTAAGAGTTCGGGTTTTGTTTGTTGGATGCCCAGAGCAGCAGGTCTCCACCAGGCATCCATACAGACTGGAAGGAGCAGTCCTTGAGAGCAGCCCTGTGGAGAAGGACCTGGGGGTCCTGATGGATGAAATGCTTAACATGAGACAGCAATGTGCCCTTGCGGCTCGTAAGGCAAATGGGATCCTGGGCTCCATCAGAAGAGGGGTGGCCAGCAGGGACAGGGAGGTGATTGTCCCCCTCTACTCTGCTCCTCTGAGGCCCTGGAGTCTGGAGTACTGCATCCAGGTCTGGAGCCCCCAGTACAAAAAAGGCAGGGAGCTGTTGGAGAGGGTCCAGAGGAGCCACAAAGATGATCAGGGGACTGGAGCACCTCCCCTCTGAGGACAGGCTGAGGGAGCTGGGCTTGTTCAGCCTGGAGAAAAGAAGGCTGCATTGTGACCTCATTGCAGGCTTCCAGTACCTAAAGGGAGCCTACAAACAGGAGGGGAATCAACTCTTTGAAAGGGTAGATAACTGCAGGACAAGGGGAAATAGTTTTAAGTTGAGGGAGGGGAGATTTAGGTTGGATGTCAGGGGGAAACTCTTTATAGAGAGAGTGGTGAGGTGCTGGAACAGGCTGCCCAGAGAGGTTGTGGATGCGCCGTCCCTGGAGATGTTCAAGGCCAGGTTGGATGGGGCCCTGGGCAGCCTGGTCTAGTACTGAATGTGGAGATCGGTGGCCCTGACTGTGGCAGGGGGGTTGGAGATTCATGATCCTGGAGGTCCCTTCCAACCCTGGCCATTCTGTGATTCTGAGATCTGTGTCTCTAACTGCTGCAGCATGGGAGCCTCTCATGGGTTTTTAGGGTTCCCAGGGAGAAAAGACTTGTGATCCACTCCACCCATGCTGCACAGCCCATGGAAGGCCCAGATGGCCATGATGGCAACAAAAAACACAGCAGGGGAAAGGGAGGCAGGGGCTACTCACTCATTGCTGACGTTGTTGTTCTCTGGGTCTGAGGGGCGTCGTGGAGATGAGGCCTTGAAAAGAATAAACGTCAAATGTTTCAGTTACGACAATACAAAGCTATCTTTGTGTCTCATCAGCCACGTTTGCACCCACCTCTGGGAGGATGGTACATGGGCCAGAGCACCTCCTAGGAATGAAAATACCTGCTAATGAAAATACCTGCTGGTGAAGGAAGTGACAAAGAGAACCCCCTGCAGGCAGGCTGGGTGCTGCAGGAAGAACCAAACTTCCACATTTCTCCTCTTTACTGTACTGCCCCACAGAAAGGGGAGGGGGACAAAGGCAGATTCTGGCTTGAGACAGACTCAGACTCAGTCAGCTTGGTGACTGCTTTCTCTAAGCTGAAGCTGGTGGTTCACACGAGCTATCCTGCCGCTCCCAACAGCACCAACAGAGGTTAAACAGGCACAGTGCAGAGCCAGTGTAAGGACCCAGCCCCTAGAAAGCAGGAACAAAGCAGCTCCTTTCTGTGCCCAGAAGAATGCTCAGCCCCGCAGCTTTGTCTCGGCAATTCCCACCCTGAGAACCCATTCCCAGCACTTCTGGGCAAAGGATGGGCTTGGAAGACAGGCGGTTGCCTCTTTTTCCCTTTGTGGCTGACTCCTCTGTGTTACGAGCTGTACGTGGTGTGTGGGTGGAAGACAGAATCAATTAGTCATCAGGATGGAGCAGCTATGGTTAGAAAAATTTGCTTCCCTCTGCAAAACCAGCTCCCACCTTCTCTGAGGGATCTGTCAGCAGCAGTACCTATTTCCCAAAGGAGCACTGCCGACATTTCACTTGGAGCTTTGAGATCTGTGGGGAAGTGAAAGAAAATGGCCCCCCAGCCCCTCCTGAGCCCCAAAGCCCCCAGTGCTGGGCCAGGCACAGTGGGGCTGTGGTGACACTGTGACTGCAGGCACACCCCAAAACCAAGAGTTATTTGGGGTCCACAGGCTGGCCCAAGTCAAAACGGTGACAGGGGCCATTCCAGCCGTGCCTGTGCAGTGAGCAGCAGCACCCTCCAGCGACACAAGAAATGCCGCGGGTGGCCGGGCCAGTGAATGCTGCCAAAACCAACTCCTGGTGAACACAGAGCTTGAGCTGCCACGGGCAGGGATCCTATCCTGCTGATGTGCAGAGGGGTGGGAGGCAGCATCCTGCAGGGAAGGCAGGCAGTGCCATGCTTCTCCTGGCTTCCAGAGCTAACAGTGGCTCCTGGCTGTCTTGTGCAAGCCTGGCGCTTGCTCTGGGTCAGGGATATGCCAGGGATGGGCAGGAGGTGGTGCCAGGGATCTGCTAGGGATGTGCCTGGGATGGTGTCAAGGATGTGTTAGGGATGTGTTAAGGATGTGGCAGGGATGAGCCAGCAATTGAGTCAGGGACGGTGCTGGAGATGTGTCAATGACGTACCAGGGATGTGCCAGGTCAAAGAGGGGCTGTGCTCAGCTGAGTGGTGCTGTGGGGAAAACAGCAAAGGAGGGGTGGCTTTGGGAGCACAGCTGCAGCACAGCTGCGAGGGTGTGACCGAGGGGACTGACACTGGCCAAGGGGACGGCGCAGCTCACTGCTGAATTTTAAAGACAAGCAGCACTGAACGGAGAGACGATGCTCGTCCTGCAGGCAGTGAGTGCACCTCTGCCTAACGAGCCACTGCGCTCTGTGCTGCAGCGGTCCTGGCAAAAGCACGGGTGGGTTTTTGCTGTGCTGAGCAATATTTATCTCTGTTGGTAAACCGCAGAATCACGGGATGTTTTATGATGAAAAAGATTCAGAAGATGAGTCCAAGCACTGCCCTACACTGCCGGGTCCATTGCTGCACCACGTCCTGATGCACCACGTCCACACGCCTCTGAAATAACTCCAGGAACGCATTACTTCAACGCATTACACCACGCCCGCGACTTCTGTGCGTCTGCTCGGGCAGCATTTGCCCAACGAACAGCACGCGACCCCACAGGGGTGCTCGGACCGACGGTGCTGCCCGGCTCCGCCGCATCGCCACTGAACGGACCCGCACGACCACGGCACAGCCCGAGTCGGTACGGACTTACAAGGATCAACCCCGGGCTTCACACAGCATCACCCAAAACCAGACTCTGTGTCTGAGAGCGGCGCCCAAACGCTCCTTGAACTCCGGCACTCGGGGCCGTGCCCACAGCCCTGGGCAGCCCGTTCCGTGCCCACCGCCCTCTGGTGCACAGCCTGTCCCTGTCCCCCAGCTGCCCCTCCCTGACAGCCCCACGCCACAGAGACTCGGCTGTTATTTTTGGGCAGGGAAATAAATAAATAAACAGATCTCCTCTTTCCCCAGAAGAACATCCGGAAAACCGGAACGGTTCGGCGAGAACGGCGAGAACGGCGAACCGAGCGCGGTGGCAGAGCGGTCGCTGAGCTTCGAGACGGCGCCGCGCTCCGGCCCCGGGCTCCCCCGGCCCCC